TAGTGCGCTGCTGACCTCTTTTCAATAGGGGCCAGATTAGCGTGCAGCGGTGCTGTGTGGCTCATTGCTGTGGTGGTGGAGCGCTTTTGTCTGCAGTGGTAATCCGCTCGCTCTCAATGCCCCAAACCCTGGTACACGGTTTCAAAACAAGGCTGGATTATCACCACTCTTGAGAGTGAAAAATGTTGGTAATGCCCAGCAGCCTGGTCTTTTGTTCGGAGTACGGTCTTTTGTTACAGAGCTCTGTTTCCTTTGTCCGAGTTCAAAGTGGTTAAAAGGTTTGTACACTTTTACTGTGCTGACTGATCAACGCACTTGCAAGAATCAGAATGGAGTCCTTTATGTGCCCTTTATTGTTGAAGATTAGTACTTGAGCATTCCTCCAGTCTGCCACAGCAATCTCGTTGGGCTCGGCAGCCGCAATACCCCTCACAGATTCAAACTCTCCTGGTCCACTTCCCCTTTTGCCAAACGCACAGCACAGCTCCCAAGTATCTTCCATCACCACCTTACCAAGGGGAGCTTCGACCTTCCAGCTATGTGCAAATGCAGGATATGAGCGCACGCCTTCAGCTCTTGGAGGGCTGCAGCCACTGAGCATTTCCATGCCCATGATAATTACATCATAGAGAGCAAGGAAATCATAATCATAGGCAGTGGCATCGTCTCTACCTGTCTCCAGGACTTGACGGCTGAGTTTCCGCCTCTCCCCCACTCTTGCAAGCCTAGACAGTTTGCTCTTTTGACATTCTTCCAGTGTGCAGATCTCACCAATTATCTTCTCCTCTTCAGCCCTGACCTCTGGTGTGCACATGACCTCAGCAGTTCTTGTTGTCACGTCCTTGATAGCTGCGTCCACTCGGTCGCGCAGTTCCCTCTTAGCTTCAACTATCCTGTCATGATCATTCGTGATACTGGCCAGTGTCTTTTCATAGTCAGGGAAGTGGTGCACCAACGCTTGCTTGTAGCCCGTGCGATCGGCCTTGGTATCTAGGATCTGATGATTTTCTCTCGGGTGATCCAGAACTATACAGTCCCGGCAGATCAACATCCGGCATGTGTCACAGTAGAATCGCATTACTTTTGCCTTGTGTTTCGGGCACGTAGGCTTGTTCATGCTGTCCTTATTCTGCTCTCCTATCCATTCCATATCCTCTGCCAAATGCATAAGTGTTATGCTATCTGGGAGGCCGCGGACACCCACAGAGGGGAGTTGTGTTAACTGTTGACACACAGGACAGTGAAGCTTGCGAGTCTTTCTGGCATCACGATATCGCATGAGGCAGTCCATACAGAAGCTGTGCAGGCAACACAGTGTTTTGGGATCTTGGTACGGGCAGTGGCATATGTCACATTCTAGATGATTAGTGAACAACCGTTGTGTGACAGAACTAAGCTGTTTTCTGGTCGCCATTGTCACCATCACCTGTTGGCAAAACAATGGAAAAAATGGCATCAGGCTTGGATAGAAAAATGGCAGTGTTATGGTCAGTTTGCTATGCATTGTCTGTAGCTTATGTATCTTGGAAATCAACCCTTGTTTTTTGGGCAACCATCTGTTCAAAACTATAAAGAAATTGGACTTTTTATGTAGTTTATTTCATAACTTTCAGACACTGGTATAGGCAGAGATTTGGAATATGAAAATGTAGAGGACATGTCTGTAAAAAGGAATGCTGCATTCTTGCACTGTCAAGGTAGTTTAATGAATAACAGTAATTGTAATTCCGTCACTTACAGCAGAAAAAAGAGAAATACAGCAGGAGGAAATGAAGAACAATCTGCTTTGTAATTGTGAGATAGAATGTGTTGTAATGTACTTGTAATGCTGTAATTATGTGGACATGTATCACTTGACTGGTAATGCACCATGCTTCAGTATTTTGAACGTAGAATAAGGATGTTAACATGTTCTGCTTTACCTCAGAGACATGTTTCACATTTGCTTAACCTCAGACGACAGATACACAAAGGGAAAGCAATGGATTCATTAATGTCCTTTGGGGTTTGTCTCATGTCCTCTAAAGCTAATAGACCCAAAACACAGTGGCATCAGGCTTTGTTTACATGAGTGCTTTCTTAAGAGGACTTAGTAGATCGTGTCGCACCTCATGCCATAGGAAAGTGCGCATGTAAACAAAGTGTGGGTCGTGGATGAGGACTATAGTACATTAACAAAGGAAAAATAAAGCCTGTCATCTGAAGTATATTAAAGTAAAGAATGTGTGCTTCTTCTTGGGTTCTCTGTATTCCTTTCTAGACTGTCAGCCACCTTGCCTGAATGGTGGCGAGTGTGTTGGCGAGGTGTGCAAATGTCCACCGGGCTGGGCCGGAAGGGACTGCGGGCAGGAAGAAGACGTGGCCCTGCAGATCACTCAAACTACTGAGTTTGTCCCGACCATTGGGAGCACAGTCATCTACGTCTGCTACACCAATGAGAGCCAGGTTACCAACTCGCCAGTGTGGGTGTACCCTGACGGCCGGGAGATACCGGTGGGAGACCCTGGTGAGCTTAGCTATATGTGGTCCATGTCCCAAACTGTGTGACGTAAACCACATTGTCGTATTTGCTCACAGCACCCCTTGTGCACTCACAGAATTTCATGGTTCACAATCTTGTTGTTTGTAATTCAGTTCTCTGCTGTTTATTGCTTTGTGACATTTTATTCACATATTTGGTATGTCCAAAGTATGGTGACTTTTTCCGATTTGTAGATTTGTGAAATTTGGTTCATGTTTGAAATACCCAGAATCTTTTTTGTCATGTCACGGTAATTTAAAAAAATCTCAAGAATTGCTGGTTTCAACCAGTCTTCTGACCATTACTGCATAAATCGTAAGTAAAATGTAGTTGAACAATTGCCTGTAGCACCCAAACTGGTTTTGACAATTTTCTTTTAAAGGATGACTTCAGGTAGTATGAATATGCCCTCATTTTACACTTCATATTAATAATAATGAATAATGCAGAAGACATATACATTGTGCCGGTATCTGCCAAGAGCAGGTACTCATAGAACATTATCCATAAACTAACAATAACATACACGAAGATTAAATACAACAGAAAACAGTATCAGATGGAATTTCAGGCTATTCATGGTGAAAGACAGCAATAGGTGGAAAGGCTTGCAATAGCACCATGCGAAGGAATACATCTCTTATGAGTATGTGTGATTCTGAAAAGAACCGGGAGTATACTCAACGTTTCGCACTGCGTGCTCAGTCCATCTTCAGGAGACTATATCTCAGAATTCCTTCACATGGTGCTACCGCATGCCTTTCAACCTATAAAATATTATCCCAAAACGATAATGAGCTGTGATGCATTGAATGCACAGAATTCATTCATTGTTGGCTGTCGTTCATTTGCACAGGTGACGGGACTCGCATCTTTGTGGAGACCATCTCCGTGGCTGCTAGTCAGTTGATCATCACCAGCCTGCAGGAAGAGGACATTGGAACCTATTCTTGCTCAGCCGGACCCCTCATCGCTTCAGTTGTCATCACCATGAACCGTAAGATTGGACAGTATTCATAAAACGTGTTCCTGATAGTTCTGGGGAAGGGAGTGTTTCTTATGTCCATGCTCTTGGCCAGTGCTGGACGCAGCTCTGTGCTCAGGCTGTGTCCGAAACTGGGTTCCAGAGCTGTGGCTAGGTCTGTTGTCTATGCGTCTCCACACATTTCCAATGGAGCGAAGGCATAGACCTAGCTCTATACAACAGATTCGGATGCAGCCTCAAGGTGTAAATGCCACCGGGCCCGAAACTGTGAAGAGCTGCTTCAGCAGTGGACATGTACTAAAGGTGGTTGAAAGAAAGTCATGTTGCATTGTTTCCTCTCCGAGGAATTGATTATGGAAAGATACGGAAACATTGGCAAATCAGCTGGTGACTCTAGCCAGTTTTCTATCCCCAATTGGAGATTTTCTGCACATTTTCCACACACCAAGGAGCACATCAATGGTTTATGTTTACTGCTATCACCCATCCAGACTCATTGATGACCTCAAATCGCAATATCAGCTGTTACATTAGATTTTGACCTAGCAGGTTGACCAGTGCATGCCAAGCGGCAAAGTGATATGAAGTAGCCTAGTTCAGAGGTTCATGCAGATTTATGCAGCGGCATAATTTCACCTGTTATGAATTTTATTATGGAGTACATCAGGAACTTTGCTAATGTATCACGTTCAAGGCTCATTGTTGCTCGTCTCAGTAAGGTGTTGTTTTATTGCTTCCATTCCTATTATCATGCTCAAAAATAAAGAGTTAATCTCTGTCTCATTTCAATGTGGTCAACTCTTGAATGGAGTCTCTTCATTCATGTTATGTTATCTCTTGTCCAGCCTCTGATAACTCTTGCCATGGTGAATGCCTGAATGGCGGGGTGTGCAACAATGAGGTCTGTTTCTGCCCACCTGCCTACACTGGAGAGTTCTGCCAGCTCGTTGGTTCGTACTGTCCAATGTCCTTTTAATCCAGTGCCATATTAGTTATAAGATGAACACTACATGTATATCTTGTACAATATTAGCTGTTGCATTAAAAAGGCCTCCTTTCCTTCCAAAAGGTTAACAGAAATATCACTGTAGCTTTGTGTTATAGATAATCACAAAACATTTTTCAAAGGTTCTAAATTATTATACACAGTACTTAGTAACAGTGTTTATAATCTGTTGTTTTGGTAGCTGATTGAAATTTTAACACCTAGTGAAAATGCTTTGACAACCAGCCACAGTTTTACAATCCCCTTCATGCGAAAATGTGTTTGGTGTAAAAAGAGCAGACTCTATGAGGTTTGAATTTTAAGAGCTTTTTTGCGATAACTGTCCTGTTTTTTTGCAGATTTGGAGTGTCGTTACCCATGTGAAAATGGAGGATCCTGCATCAGCGGCATCTGTGTGTGCATGGCTGAGTTTGAAGGAGTGTCGTGCGAAATAAAGAGTACGCTGAAATAAAGAATACCTTTAATGCGTACAAGTTGTATTTGTTATGCTATTGTATTTGGTCCGTTATACTCGTTGTAATGGTATTATGAAATTTATGTTCTGTAAATCGTCAGTTGCACCAAGAAGTGATGTGTCATGGCAGTTGCCCCACCACAAACTGTCATATCATGTGTACAAAGTCTATCAACGTTAAGTCACTTCATGGCGCACTAAAACTATCCTATTAGTATAAGTCACTTCTTGGTGAAGTCGACCAAACAAATGATAAGTTTAAACTTTTTCATTGTACCATGCATATTGAGTACTATTTAGAGTAAGATGTTTGTCGAAGATTACCAGGGAATTGAAGGGGCCATAGCTTCAATGCTGTTGCCAGAAATGTTCTCTTGACAAAATTTTGATCTCAGATCGCTTCATTAGTATTTATTGGATTTAGCCTATCAATGCACATTGAGGCTGAGTTCTGAGCAAGCAACACTTCCTTGGATTACCTGACTTCATTGGTTTTAATACCCTTTATGTACGTCATTACAAACTGAAAAATACTGTTCAAAGTCTCGTGCAGTTTGGAATCGCCTCATATTTTTTCTGAATTGCTTATTTTGTGCATGCGAGTCTCTATGAAGCAGTGGATAGTAGATCAAAGAAGCAGTGATCTTCCTGACAAAGTTTGAACACTTATACCGTATTGCAGATTTCCAGTATTTGAGTTCATTTCCAAGACATTTGGCCAGCAGATTTACAAATACACTTGTTTTTCAATTTTTTTTTCAATTTCTTTCAGAGCGAGGTTGTGCACAAGAATGTCAGAATGGAGGCATTTGTCTGAGTGGACAGTGTCGCTGCCAGCCAGGGTTTGCGGGAGACTTCTGTGAAAAAAGACGTGAGTTCAGTTCCTCTGGTCCACCCCTCTGATCTACAGTCCCTCTTGCAACAGACCGGTAATGTAATGATGTCTGGCTTTGTTTAAAATTGCACTTTCCTATGACAGTGAGGTGCGATGCAGTCCATTGAGTCTCCATAGGAAAACACCCTTGTAAAATAAAGCATAACATCACTATGTTACATGCATATAAACGGAACGCGGTGTGGGGCTGCATTTCAGCCGGACGTATACATGCATCATTACAGTGATGTCAAACTGCGGGCAGTATGTCTAGTGCTTGTGAAATGAAGCATAGGTCTCAGGTGTGCTTCCACAACTGAATGGTATTGCACATTTGGTCAACTTCTCTAAAGTTGTTCTCAATTAAGGCAAAGAAACAACAACAAAAGGCCTTTTCACACTGCAGAGCCAATTCCCGGGAAAATCCCAGGGATTTTTTACCCCACCAAAGCCCCAGCACCCGTTGGCACTAGACTCACTTGGTAACTCCCAGGGACAGCATTTCAGGGGAACGCCAGATGAATAAAATTACAAACTTTGCATGGATAGGGATCAGAATTTTAAAATTTTATTTACGATGGCAAAAGTATGTCTAATATCAGGGATTTTTTTCTCTCTATTTCCTGGTCCCAGTGATAATTTGCATTTAATTGCAAGCAAAAAACTACAAGTATTGCGAGGATATTACTGGCCCCGCTTGTCCAGCAATGATGCGGGCAGTAATCAAGGCATTTTTGGAATGTTTTCTATAATTCGTCTGACTCCGCGGCGACCGTCATTGTACACTTTGAAGTGCCTGAGTTACAACTCCTTCTGTGTCCTTCCTCTATGGTAAACCAGACTAAGCAGGGTCATTCACAAAACCAGCCTCTCACAACAGGGTGAACACAGTGACAAAGGAATGGTTTTGTTGCAGTTTGCTTCAATAGCTTGTGATTTGATACGGTCTATTTTATTATCAAGTTCTTTTGAAATGCAAAAGCAAGAGAGATAATCCTGGCTTTATATCCATCAAATATGAATCAAATGCAACAGGCCCATCAAATTTCACAAAAGGTTTATTACAATTATTGATCCACCCTTGTCAGAAATGTATCTAATTGTCAGTTTACAGCTTGCTTCCACTAACATTTTCAAAGCCTCATTTGTTTAAAAAAGCTTACCTTGATTAAGTAGAATTGAAATGTTAGGATGCAGGAGACTATTTTTAAAACACATTCAACAACTGTGCTTGGAAAGAGCTGACTCCTTTCAGTGTATGTGCGTGTTGTATTTTTTGGGCAAGTATACTTCCTCCTGGCAAAGTTCAGGCATCTTCACAGCTGACTGAACAATAAGACAACGAACAAAAGCAGCCCACAGAATAGTCTGAGTTACTACACCCTGGAATTCCAATATCCATATGTTCTGTACTGTTAGGAAAATAGAGCTCTGTTTGAGTAAATAAGAAAGAAAAACAGGTCACATGTGCTGGAAGGTGCAGCACAGAACTGTGAATGCCACACTTTCAACAGGTGCACCAACCGTTTTGCTGCCAAAGGAAAGCAAACACGTTGTATAATGCCCAACATTTTCCCTCAATTCATGGAGGTTCATAGGCCATAAGCATGAATATACAAATATGTACATGTATGACTCTGCAGTTTTCAAGCTGTTGCTGAAAATGTAGCTCTCGTCATTACCTAATAAAAATGCCAACCCTTTTTTTCTTCAGCAGAGGTTTCAGAAACTAGTTAAAATGTTCTCTTTTGCTTTTGTTTGTGATACATGCTCTCTCATATCTAAAGATTAAGACTAAGAACTTGACAATGGAGAGTGAAAAACTCCCTGAATTTAGATGGGAAAGTATAAAAAAAAAGAACCATGTTCTGGTAAGAACTTGACCAAGTAAAATCTTGATCAATTTGATTGTGAATTTTTCCCTTAATTCTTCTGGTCTCTTGAGTTTTAATTTGAGGGCGTGAGTTTTCACCTGTTTTATGACATTCTGATTCATTGTTGGAACAAAATGAGCTTTGACGGTGTGCATGGTGTAAGATTTCATACAGGAGCCTGTCAAAGTTAGAATCAAAAGACTTCTTTCTATTACAGAATTAATCATTTACACATAGAATTCATGGAAACACTCCATGAAAATGCTATTTAATAAATGGTGAAAACAGGTCAAATTGCATGTGATCTTGTGTGTACTTTTGCAAATTTACTTCATGAGGGTCTTCAGTTTGATCTTCCTTGATTTTCATTCTGCTGTGTCATTTGCCAAGTTTCTGATTTTAAAGTTTCATAATGTAGACATGCCCTATGGCAACGGTGTCGGTAACCTGTGTTTTAGAAGTTTGCTGTGCTCTGATCTTCAACTTGCACATCCCATGTGACAGTGTCTACCCTTTTGTCACCCTGTGTGTCACACCGTTTTTCCACCCCCCAACAGCCATCCAATGTGAGCCCCCGTGCATGAATGGTGGCATCTGTGTGCGTGGCCAGTGTTACTGTGCTGAAGGCTTTAAAGGCGACTCATGTGAATTGATAGGTATGCTCTAGACCCATTCCGTTCCTCAGTAATGAATTTATTACATTTGTTGCCCCCTCGGTGAAGTGACTTGCATTCCTGTGTGAAAAAAGAAATGAAAGTGAGGACACTAAGAATGATGTCTTAGATTCCTTTTGCAGTGATTTGTAAACAACCTTTCCAATTTGGTCACAATCCTCAGCCCGGATTTACTTATCCTTAATGTACGTGCATTTCATGCTGCAGAGCTTTGTCTTTGACTTCCAGTTAAACAGGGAAGAGAAATGTATTACTTGGACAATCGAATGCATGTGGATAAATCTAAATATATTCAAGGATTAGTGGAATCAAATTGAGTTTAGGGTGTGCCTTTCACAGAGCAATGGTGGAATATACAAGTGCTCTGCAACATGGGGCAAATGATTGATGTATTTTTTCCTGTTACTGTCAACACTTGCAGGTGTAAAAAAAATTGTTACGATGAATAGTTAGCTTTCAGCTATCCAGACAAACTCCTGACGTTTGATTAAGGCTCTAATAATCAGTATAAAGACTTGAATTCAATACGCCATAGGGTTTTGATGTTGTTTAAAGTTCAAGAATCCTATTGCGTCAGCTTGAGTGTATTGAGTATGCAGTAAGGATACTTGGCTGACCTGTCTCCAAATAAGGTTTATCACACGAGAACAGAATACCTAAATTTTCTCAATATTGGTGTCAGGACTGTAACATGTTATTGAAAAAATTTCTGAAGGCCAGGTGCATGACATAAATGCATTGCTACAATATTTGAGGAAATGTTGAGGGGATATGGATCCCACTGCTGTTATGTTATGGTTAATATTCTTAGTGTTTTCTTTCTTTCAGTGGATTTATCACCGCAGATCATCATCAACCCATTCTCTGGCCAGGTCCTGGCCCTGGGTGAGGATGTCAACTTCCTGTGCCGGCTGCACAGCATGGATCAGGAGCCGGGGACCTTACCGGTCTGGGTGGGCCCAGAGGGGAACGCCATCGGCAAAATTGGATTTGGTGAATTTATATACATGTATCTGGAATGTATTTACAAAGTGGTGAGAACTTGGGAAAGCACTGATTTCTAGCCACTGTATTGAAGGTTACTCAAAGGATGAGTTGGCAGAGTTTCAAAGAAAAAGGTATTCATCCTTTACTTTGTAACCAAACATAGGTATGTGAAAAAAACCATGGTCTTGCAATTTGTTTCTGAGCTCTGCACGAACAAGGGTCCCACCCCATTATAGGATGTGTCAAAGTGCATGGGCATCACCCCCATATCACCCTCACCTCCCTGTTAAAAAAATGGTCTCTTCTTCTGCCAGTATTTATGATTTACTGATTAATTAAGAGGGACCCAACAGCAAAGTGTGCATTGGCAAGTCTGTGAAAAACAGTCAAAATATATTTTAACAAGAGAATATTTTCAGAAGAAACAGACAAATATATATTTTAACAAGAGAATATTTTCAAAAGCAAATACTCCAGATTGTCCATTTTGTGAGATATAGCATTTTGTAATCATTTAATAGACAATAATAGATAATAATGTCAGGTTAGGCAATATTGTACATTTTCTTTGGCAGTGGGCTAATGTCTAGGGATCATTCCATTTTTCCTTTTTTTTTTGCACTTTTCTTTTTGATATTTGAATCTGAGAAACCACCTGTATGTGAAATTAGTCCACAGTTTCATAGGATATTGCACTGGCTTAATGAAAGCTGAAACAGCTTTGTGTTTAAAAAGACCATGGGAATTGACATTTAAATCTCAATTTCGAGATTTATGTGAACATTTCAGTATCGAAGTGTATACCTCCCAGTGCATTCTGGGATAGAACATCTATGCTTACAGTACCATGCACTGCTAAGTAACCATACATGTACAACATCTCAACTTCGAACATACATTTCCCGTAACTATCATTTTAAATCTTTCTTCGAACTGCTACTGGCAGTGGTGGGATTGTACATGTCACTTTTTTGTGATTGAATTTCTCTTGTATGTCTGTCATTTTCACTGGCATATGACAGCTTTATACCACTCTGATGAGCCCCACTTTATCCCAGCATGCACTGCAGTAAACATAGGGACTCATGATTGTAGGGCTATATGGAAAGTGGTAGGACCCACTGATTCTTTTTCTAAACTTTGTTTGTTTCTGTGTTTATGTTTTTTCAGGAGGAGATTTGCACAAGTATGTTGAAGTACTGCCAGAGTCTGTCGTCAACCTTATTATCAACGACTTCACCTTGGACGATGCAGGGAACTATACTTGCATCTCTGGGCCCTTATCAGGAATGGTGTACCTGACAACACTACGTAAGAACTTGGCTGCGCCTATTCACGTATTGGGTTGTCAGCTGAAACATCTATAGCAAAATCACAGGGAAATGTTCAAGTGACTTTAGAGTCGTACTTACCTTGGCAACTGACAAAGGTTGATATGTTCATCTGGGCCGTAATTTTACCTGTATAGGTAGTGAATGATGTTTTTGTATTACAAACTAGTTAGGTTTACAGTTACACCATGTAGACTAATCCGATTAGACGTCATGACTGCTACGGCACTGCACTCACACACACACATTTTTTTAGCTTGACCCGCGCATGCATTTGGGAAATCGCGACACCTTATTGGTCGATGAGGCATGTAACACGTGCGTACCACCTGCACACGAGCCTTGTGCCACCACAGTAATGGCTTCTAATTCTGGTTGTCGAATTGCACTATACATTCTACGTCTGGGCAGTGGGAGTAGAATCACCAGTTCTTCTGAGAACCAACATTTAAAAGAGATGTAACAGCATACCTAACTACATGTAGTTGATCAATGCGTCACCATGCAAACCTCCCAAAGGTATCTGTATTTTGTATTACAGTTTTCTCTACATGTACATGTACTTTACCCTTATCGCTAACTGTTGTTACTGGTTTGTTGTTCACTACTAGCGGAAGATTGCGAGGGCTTGTGTCTCAATGGTGGCATTTGTGTCAATGGCATCTGTGAGTGTGCCGAGGGATTTCAAGGGGAACAGTGCGAGTTCTCACGTGAGTGTGCCATATTAGGCCTTTCCCCTACCCCATCATCTGGGCACCAAAGTGTACAGTTGTATTATTGAAAGTTAGGTTTATATGACTTCATCTATTTCTTGCAGCTATTCCTTTTCTATGGCTGATCAATCTTAAGATCTCCTGTACTTAAAACTTTATTCTTAGGTTCATTTACAATAATTGACTGTGCTGACTGAAAAAGAATCATTACCAAAAATCAGGATAATCCGGCCCTACACTTTCACTTTCACTTAATCCAAATGTATGTCAACTTTTGACCATAACCACACATCATTATCAAGTCATGACGAGGAATCGATGGAAGTGAAAAGCTATTTATCATGTTAACTCTTGTTACTTGTGGCGTTAATATGCGATTGACATCTGCTTTGGCTTATCAGTCATTTGATTCCAACGCAGACCCTGTAGACTCCATGTTTATTGCAGTGTGCAATCTTATGAGAGCAGTTAATGAACACCGGTTCAGCTGTGTGTATCACTGAACCACTTACTGCCAGGGCTTTTATCAATGTTGATGATACTGGGTCGGGATATTTATGAATTTTTTCTTTTTTTCAAAATTCTTTAAGAATTCCTATCTTCATTTACTGGACACTTACGAAAATGTGAAGGCATGTCTAGTGTCCTGTCTAGCCAGACAGACAAAATCCATTGACGCCTGAGTATTTCAGCCAGGCCTGCAGCCTGTGGTGGTGGAGCGCTTTTGTCCTTGGTGGTAATCCGCTCACTTTAAATGCCCCAAACCGTGGTATACTGTTTCAAAACAAGGCAGGATTATCTAGAATTTTGAGAGTGAAAAAATGTCGGTAATGCCCAGCAGCCTGGTCTTTTGTTCCGAGTACGGTCTTTTGTTACAAGGCCCTGTTCCCTTTGTCCGTGTTCGGAGACCCCGGCCACACATATAAAGCATACGTGTCCGGATCCGGTGTCCCTGGCAGGAAGTGATTTATACATGGGTGAAGCTGAAGAACATTCAAGGGTTTTCAAATAGAGTTCCCCTCCCTAATCGAGGTCACTTTTGCAGATTTTTTGACACAACGTACTGCACAACTGCGTGAGGAGTATATCCAGCCTGTTTTACCTCTTGCTTCTATTGAGAATAGTTCTAAGTTTGTAAATTGAAATATAATGTAACATGAAGGGCCATACCTCCTATCACGTTGTATTTTGATTAGCTCTCAGATCCACCTCTAGATGAGATGCCAAATGCATGGTGCAGCCATAGGCTAGTGAAAGTGTCCTCTCCCACTGGCTCAGGTTCTACTGTTGAATCCTCCTCCCACCTCTGCACCTGAGCCTGACTCCCCTAACCCCACCCTATTACATAACTGAATATGACACCATAAGTTGTTTTTAGTCCTTTTACACAGGTACTGACCACCAACAGGCATATGGCTACTACATTTTAGAAAGTGCCAGTCACCTTTTGGACAGTTGTTATTTCATCCACTTTTTTGTTACCTTTGACTTTCTTGTAAAATTAGTGGGCGGTGGACTTTGCAGCCCGGCTTGTGAGAACGGAGCAACGTGTGAGCAAGGCGTGTGCCTCTGTGCCATTGGGTTCACCGGTGAAACCTGTGGCATTGGTAAGCCACACTTAAGTTATGAAATTACCACCAGTTCTTGCTGGTACTAATTCGTGGCCAGCTTGTCTGAGGTGGGGCACCATTTTTGGTCTTAAATTCTGACTTTTTAAAATGACCAGATAAAGAGACCAGGTAGTCAGTCACAAAGTTGGATATAAATGCCGACTCATCAGAGGAGTTTGTTCCAGATCTATGTGATATATTTCTTTCCACTCTGAGACAAACTAGTGGATCAACATTTGTTGTACCCTGCTGTGGCATCTGAACACCTGAGGTCTCCACACATGCTCAACCTGTGTAGACTCGACCTGTGTATATGCATGATTTTTAGAACAAACCTCACACTGTACTGCACGGAGAAATTGCTTTGAAATGTTCACGAGCCCTCTTTACAATGCTACCGAAAATCTTGGCGGGTTAAATCCTCTTGTGTTACTGTGTGCACACGTAGTAGCAGCTACAAATTACAGTTTGCAGAAAATCCTTGATTGACATTATTGTGTCCTCCTTTAAGAAGCAGTTGTTGTAGTAATGGTGGATTCCTTTAAGAACATTTTAGCCCTTATACTTTTACTTGAAAGTTTGTTCTTTCTCAGTGATTCTCAATCTTTAGGCTTTTGTTGTAAGTATTAACTTTTGACTTTATGGCCTTCTTGTTAGGCATTTTTATTGTTCATTCTTGATATGTATTATTTGGTATGAATTCTTCACAACTCTAGAAATGACATGTAACCCAGCCTGTGAGAACAATGCCATCTGCCAACGTGGGATCTGCATGTGCCCTGTGGGCTTCACTGGACCCTCCTGCACCGAAGGTGAGCAGAAACTAAAAGTTATTAGCAGAGTTGTACCTTGGTATTTGCCACACAAATGTAACATAGACCTTGTTAGTGTGAGACCAAATTGATAAACATCAGTTTCCTGCTTTACACTTTGATAAGAAACAGGTCACATTTCCCTGTTTATCTACAATCTCAAAAGCCGTGGTACAAAAATATTAGGCTGTGTTCCAACCTGAAGTCTAAAAGAAGTTCCTGGAAAGTCTGAAAAAATACAGCAAAGTGTTAAATTTCTGACATCCTTACAAATAAATGTTCAACATGTTTTTGAACCTTTATTGAACTTGTAGAATGTTCTTCTTGGTTTGTCTATTTATACCATGGTTGGAATGTATGCATCATGAAATACAATCTAAAAGAACTTTAATATAATTTATACTACATGATAAATGTATTTACACTGAAAATATTTGTGGAAAATGAGAGAATTTGGATCAGTTCAGTGCATGTCGGTCCTTCTTGTGGTAAACGAAAGTGCATCCACTGTTAGCATAGACATTCCTGGTATTCAAGCATTTCATATGAAAAGGATTGCCTGAAGGATGTACACCAGTGCCTTTGATAGCCTATAATCCATCCTTACTATAATCTTTCTGACTTCTCCATCTCTCAATTGCAGATATCAATGAGTGTGCCATCAACCCACTGATCTGCCCGACCTACGGCTGCATCAACACCATTGGCAGCTACAAGTGTGCCTGCCCACCAGGCTATGAGTTTGGCCCCGATGACGTGTGCCAAGGTAAAACACTTCCCGACAATTACCCACTTATCGTGCATTGTACCTCTATTTTGGAAGACTATTTGGGATTATACAGTAAAATAACATTGTGAAATTTAGTGGGATTTAGACAGATTTGCTAGGATTCATACCTGCATTGAGTATTTTGCTTCTATGACTTTAGATTTTCAACATCATTGCTCACTTATGGGCATTACCAGAGAAGAGGGAAAAATAAAAATCTCTTTTCTTAGGGATGCTCATCAGCACAGAGCTGACAAATCATGAACAGTTGAATCGACTCATTTCTGAGGTATTTTCTGGTAAACTGCAGAATTTTGTCCCTCTTCCTCTGTTTCTTTCCCATTTTCCTTTTTTGTGGTTTCCGTTTTTTGGAGGATGTTCACACCATGCTCAATGTGAGGTTCACACCTAATTAGAAGGATGCCATAGAACTTAGATCTAATAAGATCTGGTTTACCCGTGTTTTCTAATGTTTATTTTCAGATATCGACGAGTGTAAGATAGAGCATGCTTGTGCACATCGGTGCATCAACACCATTGGCTCCTATCTGTGTGCGTGCCATGAAGGATTCATTGTGGATTCCGACGGGAAGACTTGCGTCGGACCTGCAGGCATGTACAGAACCCTGCCTCCACTTTTCAAGCAAACTCAGCCAAGCCTGAGTAACTGAGCCCAACCATTCTTCAGGCTGGTCTAAAATACCTCATTCCACCCCAATGCACCCCACCGTAAACCACCTATGAACCTCAGCTTACCTATTGCATCCCATCGCATTCCACCAGAAACTAATCCAACCCAATCCATACACATCCAACCTCATCCCAACCTCAGCAATACTTCCTAAATCCGACTCACCACATTGCCAACTCCTCATCAGTCACCAGTCACTCTTACTCCTCAGATTCTCTGGAACAAACATTTCCAAAATCAGCCACGAGTGTTGTTATATTCGGTTGGGCAATTACCTCACACACCCAGAGGTGTCTGACCCTAACTTAGGCTGAACCTACCACAAGTCAGACAATCCAAAAATCTGTCATTACTTATCCCACTTTCAGAATTTTTTGATGAGGATTTTACTGATTCCAGAAATGTCCAGATGATCTCTTTCAAGTCTAGAAATCATGCATTATCAATTTAAGGTATTTTTATACGTAAAGGTTGAAAATGGGTCATTTAAGGTTTGCCTGCTGGCAAACACAACTGTAGGTAACGTACAGGCCATAGGCTGCTATGGGGCCTTCTAAGTCTCTGGTTAGTATTTTGTGGATATTTCATTTTCTTCCTGTCTCAAGCTGGCCTTTCAAAGGTGAAAGCCTCCTCTGATATGCTCATGTGTGTTTGGAACTCTTCCCAATACCAGGCTGCTTGTACCAGAATGTCCTCTACCCAGCTGGGACGAGTTGGACTATCGATGGTTGCTCCCAGTGCACCTGTGACATGGGCGTCACTCAGTGTACAGAGTGTCCCCCACAAGGTGAATATTTCTGTTTTAACTTGTTGCTCCATGGGACTAGCCATTTGGGCCTCAAATTGAAGAATTTTTAAAAGAATGTAGGAGTTCAGCTGAACATTTACTCATCTCCAGACAGAAATATGTGCCAACTTTGCATACCTTATGTGGACCCGTGAACAAAGGGTCCACATAATGTGGGTTGTGAGGACCTTTTTGGGATTAAGCTGAATCCACTCAAGGTTACCCCCTTTCTGGAAATCAGTTTTAGCGTCATTCTTGGCAAAAGTTTGGTGTAGCAAAAATGTGAGATAACCAGCAACACAAATCCACCTCGCAAGAGTGTTGTGAGTTGAAGAAAAATAAGTAATTTTAATGAGGTTTCTCACATGAACAGAAAATTTATGTAAGCTTGGTGGGTGATGTGTGTTTACTTGTGGATAATTATCTGGGGTTTTTTTGGCAGATAACGAGGACTGCATGTACAAGGGCATCCTGTACCGTCACCTCACCAACTGGACGTCACTCTTCAATGCCTGTGAACACTGCTTTTGCAACAACAGCAACGTCCAGTGCATGGAGGAGATATGCGATGAGCTGTGCACCCACCCTGTGCCCAGGGCCGGCGTGTGCTGCCACGAATGCACAGGTAATGCTGGTCTTCTGGCAAAAACCAGAGCTGCCTGTAGAGAGAGCTGTGACATGAGTGTCTCAATTTTTGGAACTGCGTATACATTTACACCACACATAATGAACAGCCATTTTGGTTCCAAACTGTGACATTGTTGCTGCTCTCTGTATATTCAGCTCTAAGCAAAATGCTGAAGAAATAAATGAAGTCACACTCGAACAATGAACCAGTTCGGTATCTCAAAAAGCCAATGCCTTTTGGGAACAAAGGGTGTGCGTGAGTCTGCGTATGACTGCACTGATAAGACAGACTATCAAGCACGCAGACGGCTGTTTCCGATTAGCCTCACACATGGCGTGGGCCATTGGAATATCAAACTAGAATGCCCTTGATGCTGGAAATTATTGCTTGGCTCTTGTTGAGATTTTGTTCTGTGTCAGTTTCAACAATTGTAAATGTATACCTACGTGTAGATTGACAATTCATGATTGAAAATCCACTATTTAGATCTTATACATGGAATGTGCAACATAGACTTAACTGTCTTGGATTCAGTTGCAGATCAGCTATATTAATTGTCATATTTGAATTCAGCACAATCATAATCCATAAGAAAGAGCACATTTTGTCTCAGTTGCAAATCACTTTTTTGGTATGAATTGTTAACCAGTGCAATTAAGAATGTGCTTCTGCAGGTGAGGACATCTTTAATTATTTGAACCACATCCCAAAGAATGATTCTTTAGGACAATTTTCGATAACTATGTTTCAGTTTGCATTCGAAAGAGCAAACTTAACACTTTATTATATTTGGCCATCCAAAGTCAGAAGGGTGTATATGGAAAACATGTGTTTGAGAAATCTAATTTAAAGATTCACCCTCCTTGCAAGAGCCTTGGTTTATCGCTCATGTTGTCATCCATACAGAAATGGCATGCTCCTGAAACATGTTGAGATTCATAATGAGGTCTTTGACTTATTGTCCTGAACTTAATATACCAGGCTAAAACTGGCTCACTCTTAACTACTTTTTCTATCATTTCATGCCTGGTGCTAGACAAAGTCTGAATCATTACTCAGTCATCTTCCCCTAATTTGCCTACTCAGTCTTTGACGGTTTAACCTTCCATTCCATGTTTATAGCTTATATCATGGAGTATGTCTTAGGCTGAGTTGGACCTCATATCCACATTGAAATAAACTATGTAAACTGAAGCTTCATCAGCAGTTTGGATGAAATGATATTGGTGTAGATTCGTTCACCTCCTGCGTAACTGAATTCTGTTGTTTAACCTAGACTCACTGTTAAAGTTCACCAGCCAGTTCCAATTGGTGAAGGCTTAACTCTTTATAAAACTCCATCCTCTGCATAAAGTGACTGGCACCCTTCCAGCCTTGAATGCATCAAAGTACTCCAAACCTAGGTGTTCACTTTGAAGGATTTGGGATTACAGGATTGTCTAGTTTGAACCAACTGATTTCACTCTACGATCCACAGTGTTGACAACTGTAACTCTGCTTTGAGCAGAAATGATAAAACGGTCAACGAAAAGATCAGAAAAAAATTAAAGGTCAGAAATATGATAGTTGGATCCTAACTGGACCATTGCCACTCAGCCACTTTAAAATTGGGCTAGTGTGACAAGAAACTGGACACTTTCCATCACAAACTCTGAATTATTTTTCTGTTCTAATCTGAAGATTGTCTGAGCGAGGGCACTTTGATTCGAAATAACCAGTACTTCACACCATCCAGCAGTAATTGTACAGTCTGCAGATGTGAGGTGAGACTTTCCATAAGTAATCTTATAGAATTCATTCAGGAACAGAGAATAGCACAGTTCATTCTGAGTTTACAGGCAGAACACTGCATTTTCAAAATTGACATATGTTGTCCTATTTTGTTTTTGTGAAAAGTTTATGAAATGTTTTTTGTACAAGATGTTTTTATTAAATTTTTTCTTACAGCATCCAAATTTACGAATGTATTCATTTTGGGGTAAAATTTATGAAATATATTCTTCATTTAAAAAAATAATCTTTCAAGTCTATATTTTCGAGATATTTTTACCTTTTTTGTTTCTATGGGATACATAGAAGCAGTCATACATACAGTCATGTCCCTGAGTTATTATTTTTGTTTGGCTCCACAGAATGGCAATGTGAAGTGCTCCAATCTGACTTGTCCAGAAATCACCTGCAGCAAGCCAACAGAGGGACCATGCTGCCTCACATGCGAAGGTGAGACTTATAGGCGAATCACAGACTCCTTTATGTTTTGCCTTAATCTCTTTCTGTGATAGGCGAGTCCTTTGATTCAGTAGCATTATGTAAGAGGGATCTATTGCAGTAGTAGTTTAAGTAGTGGATGTGCACCAGACGAATGCAAGGTGAAGTTGACTTTTAGTAACAGAAGGAATATCTGTCAGATGAGACTTAAAGGTGTGCATGATAGACAGAGCGGTTAATGAGCATGAGCTGCAAAGGCAACAGGCCCAAGGTCTTGAGTCTCGCTGAGGTCTCCTCAGCACCTCTAAAAAGAGATGTTTCACTCCTCAACAGTGTAACTGTGATGAGTTCATCCTCAGAATCTTGTAAAATTCAAAGAAAGCACATCCTGATCCCTTAAAATATTTTGGGTACCACCCTTTCCTGGGTTCACCAGGAACCAACATTTTCATCGTGTTTTTGACACATTAAGAAGTATTAGGTGTCAGCAAAATGGCCCTCAGAAGCGTCCTTTGTTTAGCAACCGGTGAAAATATGTTACTGTACTTATAGCTGCCATGAAGGGTACTGATAGAAGCTGAGATATCTGTGAAAAGATATGTCACCTTTACATTCAGGTGAAGATCCCATGTAACAGGCACACAACTTTTCCTTGGATCAGTTAATTTCCTCATGTTTTACTTCACACTCATGCCTTTGAAAATTGAAATACACTGTTCTATTGTCTTCACTGAATTCTGAAGTTTGGAATTTCCTCTTTTTTTTCAAAGTCCAAGTTGCATGCTTGTTGTAAGAGTAGTCAAATAAGCTTTAGGTAAACATCCTTCAAAAAACCCTGAGGAAGTCATTTCATGGCAGAGTTGTGCTGTAATGAGAATTTAAGGGATAAGATCTTCACAGTGACAATGGCAAAATGGAAACCAGCAACTGAGAGGTGACACACCAGCATAAATTCTTCTGACCTATGTCCACAATTAAGACAGTCGCTGAAGCTTCAGTCACACTCTGACGTTTCACTGTGTTTGCTTTAAAGCCTGGATCTCTGTCTGAACTTGCTAACTTCATCTATTCTTTTTTTTGGCTCAGATACGTGTGTGTATGAAGGGAATGAGTACGGTCATGGTGAGACCTTTATCCCAGAGTCTCCCAAGTGCAGCATCTGTACTTGCCTGGTAAGTCGCTCTTATGAGGCTTTGAGTTGCAGCCATCTTGGAAGCCAGTGCTCTGTTTTCCACAGAGATTTACATGAGTTGGCCTTTTGTGCATGTCTGAGTGGAACAAAAGCACTGACCTGCCTTTGGTATGGATGAATTTTCATGGTAAAGTGCCTTGTGTTAAGACTCACCACTGTTACACACACACTTACGGTTGATCATTAAACATTCACATGGACTCAATGGCAGTTTAAGCTGCTTACCACAATCTTTGAACCTTCATCACAGAACTCTCAAAATGTGAAACCTCTACTGCAAACAGTAACTCTTTCCATGGTGGAACTCGGTGGGCTCATGAAAATTATGGTGTTGCAGTGAGAGACAGATAGCCATGCTCCCCTGTTTTTCTCTGTATTCCTGTGTTTACGTGGACCTGAAATCCACCTCAGATCCTGTCAAACCACCCATACCCAGGATATGCTGGGTTGCAAAGGTCAGTGATGTGAAGTGCATGGACACATTTTGGCCTCTTTTTCCCCAGAGAGGTGCTGTGGAGTGTCAGTACAAGAGCTGTCCGGAACTAGACTGCCCAGCCGCCTCCCAGGTGCGCATCAAGGGCCAGTGCTGCAGCACCTGCGTGGAGATGCTGCCGGGCTGCGTGGATAACCAACGGGAGTTCCACAGGACCGGTGACCAGTGGCAAGACCCCATGGATCTCTGCAGGACCTGCAGCTGCTCGGTAAGTGCCAGTGAAGTGCTCAATCGCTGTCCTGTCTATGCAGCAGTATGTGGAGGTGGCTGGATGATCCACTGGAGGATGGCATTTCTGTTGAACCTGTTACATCTGAAGGTCTCCATGGTAATGCAGTAGTTTGAAGTGCCTATGCTGTACAGTGTTGTTTCCCAAAACTTCATATCAGGCCAGTGACGATATACGCCCGGCTCAAATTTGTAAAGTGATTTTCCTTGTTTAAAACCATGCAGAAAATTTAAGACATGAAAAGTCAGGTATGAATCAGCCAGGGTCAGTACGGTGGGAGGGGGGAATGCGTAACCTCCCAATGTCGCTTTTCAAAGATCTTTGCCTCTAAACTAGAAGGTTACTTTGACTCCACACCTTGCTGGATATTTTTTTTTGGCCCATTCCACTGGGGGCATCCTGTCAGAATTCTTGTCCTGACTATTGGGCAAAAACAACTGACACCGGCATTAGCAACTGATGAAGACCTGATTGGTTTCCACCATGGCTACTGGGAAAGTTATCCTGAAAATGTAGAGAAATCCAGTCTCATCTGCAGTCTGGAGCAGACCCTTTAAATACAGAAGTTTAGATGGCCTCGTGCAATTAACTTCACAACAAGTGTGTACTAGTAAAGCTGTGCTTCCAAGGTTCGACCAGTTTATGTTTTTCCCCCTCAGGAGAGAGGTAGAATACAGTGCTTCCGCACCGAGTGCAATACACAGTGCCGTAACCCTGTCTCCATTGCTGGACAGTGCTGCCCTGACTGCCATGGTAGGTTTGACTTCCATCAGTCCCATCATCTCATAAGCATACTTAAATGGAGTAGATCATGGCTTCAATACCAAACAAAAGAGGCTGGACGCAGCTAACTTTCAATTGAATGTGCATAGAAACCTGAAACAGTTTTGCATAGGAAGAGCCTCACTTGGTAAAGAAATATGTTATATCCAGAATCCATACATTCATTGTTCCTGAATGTGATCTTGAAACATAGTGGTCCTTCAATTGGGGATGGGAGGTACACATTAAACAATAATGTATGACTGGTTTCCATTTTGCATCAAAATGTAAGTGATCTGGATTGCACCATCTCCAACAGACGCAGCCCTAAATTGTACACATAGTAGCTGTCTGTAGAAAGTGCCTGCGCTTGTTCTGTACAAGGGCGGGTGTGCCAAAAAAATGGGGAGGGGGAAAAATTGTTTCCCCAAGGTAAGCGTGCCTCTTTGGCTGTGCTTACTAGTTATTATCGCTGTGAAATATGCAGTGCCTCGGGTAGCGCATATATGTACCTGAAAAAAATGTGTGCCTAGTATAAGTTGTAGCAATCGAATGCATTTGTTAATAGCTTGTGACTCGACTGAATCATGTCTGATGAACTTGTCAGGATGTGAATAAACAGGGCAGCCCAGATCCATAGGCCTGTTGGTTGGGGAGGGCAACTTTGTTGGGAGCCCCAAACATTGGAAATTCCTTTTATGTAAGTTTTCATTGCTATATTAGAGGTTTTCTTTTCATCGTTAGGAAGGAAGGGAAGACAGAAAATCCTAAAAAGTGCCCGTTTCTCTCTTTGTTTTAAACCCCAAGTATTTTGCTCCTTCTGGAGAATTGTGGCTTCTAGTCTTTCCCTCCTCTCAATTGTCCAGTGCTGAAGATTACCATTACTTGCCAATGCTTACTTTTTTCATCCCAGGCTGTGTTTTCAATGGTGTCGGGCGTAGGAATGGAGAGTCATTCACCACCTTGAACTGTGATCAGTGCGTGTGCATATACGGTGACGTGGTGTGCGAGCCAGCGAGCTGTAACACGGAATGCTATTATCCGTACCAACCTCCAGGAGAGTGCTGTCCAATATGTCAAGGTAAAGTCCCAGATTAAGGGAACATCTTAGAAAGTTTCAAAAGTTGCATTTATTTTTGAAATATATTTTCATGTATAGGAAAATACTTCTCTTTGTGAAGTATTTTGCTGCGGTGAAATACTTGGGCGCTTTACCGTAAGGATGCAGAATGTCAGAAGTAAAACACCTCTGATTTCACACTGTGGACCAACTTCCGAGAATCAAAACAAGAGCCAGTAACAACATCTTCTGAGACAAGAATGGGACCGTTTCTACTCATGACAATGCATGTTCCTAAAATACGAACCGCGGTCAGTGTTTCTACATATGAACAGCTAATTTCCATTCGCAGGGATATGTGGCACAACAAATTCTTAAAGGAAATTTTTAGTGGTCTTTTCACAGAGTATTGAGAACAGGAATGATCCAACTATGTAAGGCATTCCCTGATCAATAGTCATGACGTACATACCACAGGCATATCATGACATGGAGGAACAGTGGCTTACAGATTTGGCCACCAGTCAAGGCATACCATCTGTAGTATGCAATGCCTCAGGCCATGTTTGTCAGTGATCTGTCGCTGGTTTTCGGACACCAAAACTCATCTAATGGATGGTGTGAACCGGCATTAAGATTACTGATCAAGATCCAGATCCCAGTGAAACAAATAGGCCTTCAGAGACACATGGACCTCCCATCTTTCTGTGTTTTTCTTCCACCGCGTATTTGCATACAGATTGCTTCTTTTTGAGCCAAAGGATCAAGGATGGCGAGACCACTCACCCTGCGCTGGACCCTTGCAGGACATGCATGTGCAGGGTAAGGACTTTTCCCATAGATCAGTTTGCTGGACTTTGGTCGTGAAAGTTGTGATGATGATTTTCATTGTTTTTATTCTAAAAGAGCTGGGGAGGGGCAGAATCCAGTCCCTTAGATATTTTCTTTTCTATTATAGCAGTGTATTTTTTCATGCAGAGCCTTCAGGAGTTTTGATATGAATGTTTTACCATCATTTGGACTCCATATTTTGTGAAAATTGGACCTGAAATCAGTTGACCCCAAGTATTAACTTTTCCTGCATTTATGTGCTCAGTGGGTCAAGCTGACAGACGTGAAATAAGTGGTATATTACAAATGACTTACAATTGAAAAGGTGTTACATTGGAACCTTTCAGATGTACTCAGAGGCTGAGTTTGGGTGGCTTGTTGTCGTATGTTCATGAACAGCTCAATAACTTGTGTGTGGGTCGGCTGCTCAAACGTCAACCAACATGCAACATGGCGGCATCCGTGACAGGTTTAGAAGTAGTGGAGTGTTCATATTCGAAATTTTTGAAACATTGTAATCCATTTCTTTGCAGAAAGGAAATGTTCGGTGCACTCATGCAGAACAGTGTCCGACATTAGACTGCTCAGTAACAACAACAGTAGCTGGAGAATGCTGCCCAAGATGTGCAGGTAAGTGCATGGTGTTGAAGGTTGTTACCATATCAATGTCATTTTCAATTTTGAGTGTTAGTAAAGATACTGAATGCTGAATGAAGCATGTATGATTTCAACCAACGCACACCAGAACAATTTGCATTCAGTAATAAAAGTATTAATGATACGGAATATCCATATTTATGAACAAGTGTAAAAATTGATTCTTTATCAAAAGCAGCACTGCTTCTAATCGCACAGAGGATTGTAGCTACCTGAGGTATACTAGTGCTCAGTGAAAGTAGATGTTTCAAACATGGTTTTGTACCCCAACAGGCCCCTATAAGGTTGGCAGTAATGCTGACACATGTCCCATTGTTAACATAACCCAGTTTCACTGCCGGTGCTTACAGGCATTGTGCCAAGCAACTTGAAGAAGTTCTAATTCTTTGACGCTCCAAATTTTCTTGATTTTTGTTTCTGTTAGACTAAAGTTTTCTTTGTAAGATCTGTTCCTTCTATCCTACCACAGTCTTTTTAACAATAGTCCTGTCCTCTTGATCCCATACCAGATGGCTTTTGCCGACTTCCTGGGGGTCAGACATACGAGAGTGGAGAGAGTTGGTTCGACAGAGACGATCCCTGCACAGAGTGCACATGCTTTGTGAGTCAGTTTGTCGTCATTTTATTCACCTCATAATGACGTATTCCACACGTTTCAAAAGAGACACAACAGAAGATTGACATACACAGCGTATCAATTTAGAAAACAAGAATTTGTACCAGTCATCAACATGTCAGAAACTGCTACCATTTTTTTCGGCGGAGGGTGGAACATAAGTCCAAAAAATTCAACCTGCCTGAGAGAAAAACAAAAATCAAGAGGACAGTAAGCAACATTATTGGAACTTTTAGTAATGTCATTATGCCCAGGCCAGTATGAATATGCATGATTAGTGTTTGCATATATATTTCAAGTGAGCCATGCTGAGTATAATGCCGTACCATATAGCTATTTTGATTTTCTCAACGTCTAACTGCTCATATCTCTTGCAGAGAGTGTCGGTAGAAAATAATGAATTATTCGAGATGGAATGAACTCTGAATGGTGTACCCTTAATGAAAGCTCTAACTATCACAGATAGCATATCTTTGCTATCAGTAGTATGACGCAGTATAAGCATCTCAGAAAAATTTGTCCGCAGCACACTTGCAGATATATTTGCACTCTTTACACTGAGTAAAGCAATATGCTTATCTCCTGATTGTGCATTTAGGTTGAATAATATTCAGAATGTAGACACAGAACTTCAAACTTTTACAAAACTTCAAAATTTCCATGTTGTATGCAAATAGCTGTACATAATTTGGAGTTTTCCATATGTTTCTGCCTTGTGCCGATGCATACTGGCATCCCTGCAGGCTTTACTTGGCATAACACGTAAGCGCTCTTAACTTAGCGTAGATCTGCAGGTTCTTCTCTCATGTTGAAGCTGCTCAGGAGGGGAAAAACCAAGTGAGACTCAGACCTATACTGACAGACTGACACAGACGTATTATCTCATTGACAGGATCAAGTGGTGCGCTGCCTGCCGCTTCCTTGCCCGGACTCCAGCAACTGCACGCACGGCCTGATCCTTGACGGCGAATGCTGTGCTGACTGCAGCGTCTGCATGTACCGTGATATCATGTACAACAATGAGGAAGTGTTCACACCGGAGAACAGTCCGTGTGATACTTGCACCTGTATGGTGAGTCCACCCAGCCCGACTGGCCACTCGTAGTCCCCCTGAGTCTTAACAATTCAAGCAAACTAACCTCAAAATGTATACCTATCTCAACCAAACTTATATACAACCCTTTCTCAACAACCCATGAAGGATTCCCCACACGTGTCACCAAGTTGTATTACCGCCTCACTATTAACATCGCTTTTTGTGAGGCACTTTGTCTCCATTTGAAAAGCAAACCAATGTACATTCTGCTACAATGTGGTACATTACATTTATACATTGCCATCTGCCATTTGTAGAACACAAAGTACTGTGGCATTTGCCCACCCACTTTCAGGATATGGAAATGAACATTTTCAAGCTGTTGGCAAGTAGGCCTACGTTGAAAAGTCGGGGCACTTAATGACAATGGCAGTGACAATAGAGGTTGCATTAAACAAAGCTCACTGGGCATTTCGACACGTGCCAAGCAGTGAAATTTTCCTTACAAGCCCTCAAAGTGAGTGTGTATTTATGTTTGTCATTTCCTTTAGGACGGCAGCGTGAACTGTGTTAGTCGCGAGTGTCCACCGTTAGCATGTCGGCGTTCTGTGGATATCTCTGGCCTTTGCTGCCCAGTGTGTGCGGTCTGCATAGACCCCCTAGACAGCACAGAATACACCCACGGCCAGACCTGGGTCGATGAAAACAATCCCTGCAGAACTTGTATCTGTGCAGTAAGTGTGTATAATCTACAGACTTTGTCAGTTTCACAGAAAATGGATAGCCAGAGTGGAATGCTGACAACACTTTTTACATAACTTTTATCTGGGTGATGACTTTAAAGTCAGTAGATTCTGTTCATGTCATTTAATACCCATCGAGCTGGGTTGATGACGTAAATCCTTGCAAGTCCTTTATCCGTCCTTAGTACGTCTGCAGGTTCTGTCAAAATATACTCCTACAAAGCTAGAGCTTGGTTGATAGCAGTAGTTCTTGGAGAACTTGTGTCTGTGTGATGGTAATTGTAGTCTGCAGGCTGTCTAATGGTGGCAGAATAATTTTCAAATGGGGGCAGTCGTGAGACCATCAGGCTTTGACCATTAATAGACCAACACATTAAGTCCCACTCCATTGTGTTCTGATTGAGAGGAAAGGGTCATGCCCACTCCTCTTCAAGAGAGTGGAGGGAACTCTGTTTCCCCTACCCCCCTAGTTCTGCCACCAGTGAGACATCATTTTCACAGAATACCTATTCACAGAATCCTTAATTGCCCAACCTGAACAGTGGTAAGATTAGTCTATAAATCCTCAGCCACACAGAATACCCATAGACAGGGTATGGCTGATGGCAGGGATTAATCCTCACAGTTCTTGGACTAGTTTGTTAAGTGTAGTTCTAGACTCTACCAATTTCTCTGAATGCCTGTAGCCAGGATTTAGGGGACGGCAGGATTCCATAGAGAACTTGCTCAGCAATGCATTTGTGTATTCTGCAGACGGTGAATTTCACAAAATACCTGTAGCCAGAGCTGCAGGTATTTTTAAACATCTTTATAAGAACTCATTTCTATATGGTAAGTGAAGTGTAAAGTTTCCTCACTCAGTGAATTCCACCGAATAGACCTAAACCTTAAGTTGAGTCATTGAAGGTGTAGTCTTTGCAGACTATCTATCTGCATAGTGAGTGTTGCTGTAGACGGTGCTGAACAACAAATCTATGATTTTGGACTTTGACACCTGCTATTTGTCTTTGTGTCTTAGGATGGAGAGATACGATGCAGTGAAGTGACCTGCCTGGCAGACTGTAAGAATGCAACTCAAGTGGACGGGCAGTGCTGTCCAACATGCCAAGGTAAAAAACAAGCATGTGCACCTGTTGTGTTCCCTTTTGCATCTTTCCAACTTCAGCCTACATCATTTTCACCTTTTATACTCTCTGGTATCAACTGAGATCGGTGTTCTGTTTAAGTCAGTCACAAGTTGCTGCGAGTCTATCCCAAATCCGTCATGCCACTTTCAGTCTATTCAAAGTCTATCCACTGTCTATTCCAGTGAACTGAGACACAAGCATTCTTTTTATCACTGTTAACCCTGTGACTGGTCTTGTGACAGTACGCACTTGCTCGAGACTGGACTTGTGAAAGGACTTGTCATAACTCAACCATAACGCCACCTGAAATTACAATTGTGATGGGCGCCCTGATGGGAGATTACAGCCAGCAGAGGCTAGTCCATGAATCAGTAACATCCCCCACAGCATTGTAATTGTCTGTGACAGGATTGACATCAATTACCAGCTACATGTAATTGCCAATGTGGACACATTTATACCCAGACAACAGCCAATGTCATGTCCCAGACCTTCTTCCAGAGCTACGGCTCGGTCTATTTTCTGTACATCTCCACGTATTTCAAGTGCAATGAAGACGTAAACCTAGCTCTAGACAAACAAATTCGGATGCAGCCCTCGTCTTTGAGTCAGGAACATCACCCATAGCATTGTGATTATCTGCGACAGGGTGCGATGTGAATGGCCAGACATTGCCTGTTGGGACGCCAGTCAAACCCGACGACAGCCAGTGCATGGAGTGCGTGTGCGGCAGTGACGGCCAGCTGCAGTGCTTCGCGATCCTTTGCCCCAAGCTCAACTGCAGACCAGAGCAAGTGGCGGTCACCGAGGGCTCCTGCTGCCCATCATGCGAAGGTAAGGACATTCACAGCACATGAAAACAAGAATCTGCCTTTCTTGATTGAATGGCAATTGCCTTTAGGTTGTCGGTGCTCCCTAAAACGTCTCCTACTAGGCCACCTTGAGATCGCCAGGCATCAGTCATTAAATGAATAGACCAATTCCTTAACTTAAATGTTGAATTACTTTCTCAAAATAGTGCAACCTGTTGACATTTGGTTTTAGCTATGGTCCGAACCCAGCGTGTTTGTGAGAATGATGGCATCCAGTACAGCAATGGAACAACCTTTGACATTGACCAGTGCACCACCTGCACCTGCATTGTAAGTACATCAGTGTTCCACCCGTAATCCTTTGATGTTTGTGAGAATAATGGTGTTTGGTACAAGGGGTGGAGCCAAGGTTCTCTCTGTTGGGGATGAGTAGGGTAACTGGATGTCATAGTGGGAGGGCACACTTCCCTGTATTTTCTCAGTAATCTTATTATTTTCTTTATTTTGCAGTCTTCTGGGAGTGGGCAACTTGGGGGCCATAAATGAAGGAATGGGACTAGTCATTAGTTTTCCTGTTTTCAGGACTTTTCTTGTGATCTCCTTATGTCAGTATTTTTCACACAAGCTCTTTTTAAATGAAAATCCTGTGTTTACACCACTGTGGTGTTTGTGTGTATACAAGGGGCTATGCCTCTGCTTGTACAGCAGAACGACCTTTGACAGGGACTGCTTGACATATGACCAGCGGGCACCTACAATGCACATTAGTTCACGATGGTGGGCCTATGTTGAATGTCTTAGAGCTATCAGCTGGCATTTCCGATACTGATAGGACCTGACAGTGTGAACATTATTAATATATCTCAACGTCCCTGCAACAGTATAAAGTTTATATTTGATTTGTCATGTTTATAAAAAGACCAGACATCATAAGGTATTTGGGAAAAAATCAAGACAAAAAAGAACACTATTAGGTATCCTATTCAAGTGATATTTTTGACCAGGAAGAATACACCAACAGAATCAATGAAAAGAGCAAAAATGTGTTTAAAGTCCATCAAGACAGGGAAAATAGTGAGTCAAAACACTGTAGATGTGTTGAACAGAGTTGATTGTTGGAAATAATCAGGAATCTTGCTAAACCCAAAATCTGGATACTCCAAATTTTTTATCCATTCCTTAAAGATTTGGCTTAACTTACTCTATTTCACAAGATATTTGAGCTGGCTTTGTTGCCAAGCAGAATTTTTCACTGAAGGTCTGTGTGAAATCAAAATTTCCTCATCCTGTTTTCTCTATTAATCTGATTGTTCCAAATACATTTTTGGGGGGATTCCTGTAGGATGGTTACCTGGATTGCCAGGTGGAGGAGTGCCCTGAGCGGCCCTGCAGTCAACACCAGCTGGTCAGGGTACCAGATGAATGCTGTCCTCTGTGCCTGGACCAGGACTGCCTGTTTGACAACAGGTTCTTGATTAACGGGGAGTGGTTCCAGCCGGCTGGCGACAAGTGTACCAACTGCTCCTGTAACGTAAGGCGTTTACCAAATCACTTGGCTACGGCTTGAAATTACACATGACTCTGTTGGTTGTGGCTAAGGCACCTATCATAGAATGAAGAGTAATTTCAAGCCACAGCTAACTGATCTGAACAGTGAAAATGACTAGATGGGATTTAATCTTTGTAACCTGTCCATATTTGGGTCCCTAGAAAACTGGGCTTTTTTAAGTTGCTAACAAGACTGTGATGCATTTTGGCAAAATGAGATGGAACTAGGCACATTTCAATGTGAACAAACAATGCAAGAAACTAAACAAAAGTTGTATTTGTCAATTGTTTAGTTTAGTGATATTTTGTACCTTTGATTTAGCTGCTATGCCAAATAGTAGAAATGGTAGAAAACTCATTAAACAAATTTTAAACAACAAAATTAGCATCTGTTTAATACTTTCATAAAAACAAGACCCATCATGACAAAGGCCTTATTCTCATTATGTAACTTCTTTCACAAGTTCATTTGAAGGGACTGCAAATAATAACTTGTTAAGTGGGATGCCTTTTAAGCACATCGAAACAGTAGAGTTAGGAAAATTCTGTTCTCATTTGTGACACCTTTCAGTCCTCCTTTGGCTTTCGCCCTCTTCTGTGTCATTTTGCCAGAACGCCTCACATTGTCAGAATCTTTGCAAATTCCGATCTCTTCACTAAATATTCAAACGTTCTTCAGCCGCATTCATTAAAATTCCAACATTGAAATTCTGAGATTAATTCCTACATTGGTCGCTATAATTCTTCTGAGATTGGAAGGTTGGCATAGTGGTGGAAGCAGCCCGGTTTAGTTTCTGTGCTGTTTAAAAATGATCACTTTCAGGAATTGGAAAGGGTTTGAAAAGAACCGGCAGATTCAGTACTTCAGGCAGTACATGATACGCACTCTGCCTGTCAGAGTCTTTTGAAACGTTGAGTCCATGTGATACTTTCAAAACCTCAACTCACTCAAGAGATGATTGCTACATGGTGCTACAGTATTAAATGTTTCTGATAGCTCTGGACGGCCACATGATATGCGGCAGCAGAGTTGGCAAGTTTAGTTTCTGGTACTAGAGAGAAGGAATTGCACCCTAGAGACAGCATAAGCTTACAAGCCTGAAGAGACCTGTTGAGAGGAGACAATGAGAGGCAGTTACTGTAGTGGCGGTAAGAGGGAAACCCCGAAGGAAAATCAGGAAGTGACTGAAAAACCAATCCACTTGTAGACTCGGTCGAAAATGGAACCCGGGCCGCAATGGTGGAAGTCTGAGAAAGAACCACTGTGCTAGCCTGGCTCCCCTGTAATCATTCTAATCATATTTTCTTATCGTGCCAGGTTTCATTTTTATTTGTGACTGTCAATCTACAGAATGGTCAGGTTGAGTGCGCTCTGCTGCCATGCCCAGCTCTGGACTGCCACCCAGATGAGCAACACAAGGCAGAGGGTGACTGCTGCCCTCAGTGCACAGGTACATTGTAGGAAGCAGTGAGCAGCCTGCAGTATTGTCTAGACCAGTATTGTAGTGGAGACCTGAATTCAGGTCACAAGCTATTCAGATAAATTTGCAACAAAAGCCTTCCTTTATTATAGATGTTCTCTCTGCTATTTGTCAGTGGTCCTGTGCATGTTTTTTCTCAAAAAAATGTAAGTCTCTACATTTGTTTCAAACGGTCAGGCCCCAGAGAGACCATGGGATTCACATATACTGCTTGAGTTGAGTTGAAATGTTACATGCTCTGTTTTCAGCCGGCATGTGCCTATACAATGGTGAGCGGTATTCCAGCAGCACAGCTTGGAGGAGTGGGTGTGACATCTGTGTTTGCATCAACGGAAATGCAGTCTGTAGCCAGGAGGAATGTGAACCAGTTACATGCAAGGAGGTAAAAGACAGACCAACGTCATCAGTGACAGTACCTTCTCTAGCTGCGATGGACAGTAGTAGTTCCTGGCCCAGTGGTTTGTGGGACCTGACACATCATTCCGGGTTTAACAAGTGCCAGCATGATAAGGAACTTATCCTCCAAAAAACTTAATGTGCACTTTTTTCAGGTCCTAAAGTTGGGTGTAGCTTACTAGATTGGCCTATTTGAGGCTGACGCCCGATGGTCTCACTACTGACTCTCAACTTTGAAAATAGTTCCCCTGCCATTGCCACCATCAGGCACAGATCCAGGATTTTCCCAAAGGGGAGGGGGTGTGATCTTGGATTTTCCGGTGGGGGGGGGGAGAAGAACAATAGAGCAATGGTAAAATGCCCACGAGTTTGTAGTGTGTGGCCCTTCCGAAGTGATGTCAAGGGCCATTTTGAATTCCAGGCTGTCTGTGGTGCGATTTCAGGATGACCCCTATTATATTTTCCTCCCTCTTTTTCTTCTTTTGTTATTTATTTATTTTTTCGTGGAAAAAGAGGGTTTGCACCCCCCCCCGCTTCGGCTCCCGACCATATCATGCTCATAATCTAAGGCACTTGTCCCGAGGCGGGGGAACCAGGAAGGCTGGGGGCCTGTGGGCCCCCCCACCTTTGAAAAGTGAGTTAGTTTCCCCCCCAAAAATGTATAGGTCTACCAGCTGTGGGAGGTACACTGCAACTTCATAATTGTCTTCTTTTCAGTGAAATGGCTGGAGCTTGCTCCCTCACTTTTAAAACCATTCCGCCGCCGTAACTCAACCACACTGCCTTTCATGGTGAAAAAAGTTTGTACATAGCACAACAAATTGTGTCACTGTATATTTGAGGAGGCTGTAAAACATGCATGAGATGCAACAGCCACAAAACAGAAAACCTAAAAGCTGTGTCACGGCAAAATACACACTTTGTTTAAAAAAAGTTGCTGACCTTCGAATATAATCAATGTGAATTTTTTCCACCTGAAATCCATGTATCTATTGGATTTTTTTTTTTTATATTTTTAGGGTGATGAAATCGGAATCCCACCTGGAGCATGTTGTGAACAGTGCTTGCCAAGTAAGTTATTGATTACTCTTGAGCCACTTCAAGAATGGTTCATGGGCTTAACAGCAGTGGCAGATCCAGTATTTCCAAGAAAAATGGGGGTCTGAGGTTTTACAAAATGGGCACCCCAAATGGAGGTAAACCCTGAAATATCAGAAAGGCACATTTGCAGTGGTGATTGCTGTCTTTAAGTTTATACTAAATAGGCAGTGAAGAACTTACAAGAAAGCATGATTAATGGGGAAGAAATCTTTCTGAAATTTAAAAATATGAAAAATATGGGTTGTGTTCTGGGTGTGTGCCCTCATGGATCCTATGCATTCACAGCCAGATCTAGAGAACCTAACTCTCCAATAGATTTAACAATAGGGTGGCTGGTGTAGAATATTTGGCATGCAGCTATAGGGCTTGCTTAGTTTTATGCAAGAGGGCATCGAAAGCAAGTTTACTGTGAATTGTATGTAGATTGTATATATTTCAGGTGGTGGAGAGGGGAACGACGAGGAGGGGCAGAGTTTCATTTTGGGGAATTTGCCCCCCCCCCAGAGTTACGTCACTGTATCTTAACCACAGGAGTCACATCAATCAGGCCCTATCCACACTTGTCATGCCTAGCTTAAGAATCATGTCACGATTCAGTAACAAGAGGGAAAATGGAAAGAAAAGGAGAGCTCTGATGCCAATCATTTCGTTTTGAGTTTGTTTGTTTGTTGGGTGAACCTGCTGAGAAATTCGCAAAGCAAAGATTCAGAGGTGTACAGCACGGATTCATTGCAGTGCCCCTGGACACGTTTTGCTCCTTGTTTTATTCAGAGATGGCCTCGTGCATTGTCTTTGGTGATCCCCATTACCGGACATTCGACGGCCGGTTCCACGACTTCCAGGGCACCTGCACCTACACGTTTGTCAAAGACTGCGTCGGGGAGAACTTTGAGGTCATTGTCCAGAACAACGGCAAGGAGACCTACTCAGTGTCCTGGACCCAACTGGTGTCCTTCCGGCTCTTCAACTGGACCATTGACCTGCTGCAGGATATGAAGGTCAAAGTTGATGGTGCCTTCGTGGAGTTGCCATACCTCCACGAGCCGGAATTCAGCATCCAGAAACTTGGTGAGCTGTACCAACTGTCACACCTGTTGTGACTTAAAAGTCAGGCCAAGGGGTCATCCATTGGTCCATCATTTTCACAAGCATTCAAAACATACCCTAGTCTTCTGATCCCTTCAAATCAAATGGGAGCATTTGCAAGAAACTTATGATTGCCATTCATCATTTCATTTCTTTCTTTCAAATTGTATGTTTTGCATACAAAAGCGTGACTTTTTAAAAAATCACTGAATGAGCAGTCAAGGCACAGAATCTAACTTTAACTGTGGTTCACAGATTGGCTCTGCACATTTCAAAACTTCAAATTAGTGCACCCAGGGGGGTCATAACATCTGCTGGGGGACATATCCCCCACTGTGCTCCTTGTAGTTATGCCATCTTTTGTATATACGTGTATTTGCTCAGGAAAATGACAATTAAGATTAATCCACCCTGAAGCCGTACTGAGGTGGAACCATATGCACGCTGGTAGCGTCTTGCATGCACTCTTTAAACAATGATGTTCAAGCACACCCTTTGGAAAGTTGTAAAAACTCCATTTGTCAAAGACGTAGTTGAAGTGTGTGTGTGCGATCCATAAAGAAGCACCGTAACACTTTAATACTTTGGCATATACTTGTGGTTGTATTATAAGTCTATGCACACTGCTTGCTCAGTGCTTTTCCTATCTGACTTTGCTGTATCAGCCACAATGCCACAAGAACTCCAAACGAATTAGGATTGTGTTTCTAGTCTTATAAAATCTCCCTGATTTCACAACTTTCTTTCAGGATTGCTGGTGGTTGTCCATACAAACTTGGGAATCACTGTGTCCTTTGATGGCGAGCACTTTGCTGAAGTTGTAGCTGATCATCTCTGGAAGGGGCAGCTGTGCGGCCTCTGCGGTGACTATAACGACAACCCAGATGATGACTTCAGGTGAGCAGATGTGGCAGATTTTACAAATGCCCAATTTGGAGTGGGCTTGGAATCAAATCTTATGAGCTGTCAAGTTAAACAATTTCCAAGGTGCAGGTCTGTTTGTCAGAAATATGCAGATTATTTGTGATGAGATACCTCACTGGATCACTCATCTTCCACAAATGAGTGGTCAGTAATCAGAGTTTCCTACAGTGCCTCACTGATGACTGCTAGCCCGATTTTTTCTGTCTTGCGACCATGCATCTTCACTGTTGCCAAGTGGCACTCATGAGCAGCTTATTGTGTACACTAATGTAAGGTAGCTCACTTGCAAAGGACATTTAAGGAGTTCTGCAGCTGTTTGCGAAGCCAGGGTGGTGACGTTGATAAATTCATGATGGGAAATGGTCAATATAGAGCTTGATACCTCATTTGATGTAGCATCTATGTGGTGTTAGAGATGCTGCAGATAACCAGTGGCTGTTTACCCTGGCTGCATTGCACTAATCTTGAGAAGGATTTTGCAAGGATATTTCATACCTCCTAATAAGCCACTTGCGAGTTAAATTTGCATAAAATCTGGTACACTGTTATCTGATTGCACAGAAACATAACAATTTGAATTCCCCAGACTAAAGACACTGTTGCTATACCGCGTGATTTGGGGCAAGCTTTTGCATAGCGATCACCATCTCTGGAATAAACTGGTTCCTTTGTGCCGTTCTTATCCATTGAGTACAGTGTATTGTTGCAAGGCGTCTCATACGTAACTTAGCAAAAGCTTGCCCCGAATCACGAGGTATAGCAATGGTGGTTTTAGTATGGAGAATTCAAGTTCTTATGTTCACGTGAATTTAAAGAATTCAGTGTACCAGATTTTATTCAAATTTAACTCGCATATTGCTTATTGTGCCCCAATTGTGCAAAGAGGATTATACAACATGCTTTTAGATATAGCTTTACTACGTGACAGTACACTTGCTGGCAATGGTTCGTGAAGTAACCAAACTTTAACAGAGGTTAAACTAAGGATGTTTCTCAGGGCCATTACACAGACAACGTGTCCTTCTCAATTTGTCGAAAATACCATAAAAAAGTTAGGTTAATGGTAAATCCAGAAACCTGTAGTTGTAAGAAGACATTGAAAAACAGTTATAGTTTCTGAAAAACACCGGACAATTTATCTAGATAAAACCCATGAAATAAGTTAGGGACTGACACAAAACCTTCCAAACACTATGCAATTGCCGTTTGTAATTCCAGAACGTCAACTTGATAAAACAGTCGGTGTTTTTATATGGGAAAGTGACAAGTGGCCATTATTTCCCCAAGGATGATAAGGGAAAGCCACTAGTTGTCAACGGTATTGAATGGGCACTGGTTTTGTGACTCTACATGATTGGGTGAGGAAAAAAACCACACACGCACCATGGCATTGTACTAACAATAGTCTAATGAGGGCGCCACTGATACACAAATCAACTGAGATTCACCACAGCACGCATCAGAGATTGATCCTGAGTGGTAGCTGCACGGCTTTTAGGATAAACTTGATATCAATTTTGTAACTCAAGATTTAATAAAAACCAAAAAGAATTAACGGATACATTTCTAGAAACCTTAAATGTGAATGCAACGGCAAAACATCAAGAAAACAGTAAATCATAGTATCACAAGAGGGCGCACTTCAGTTAGACAAGAAAGGGTGCTATTCAACATGGCAACGAAACATTAGGCAGTTAATTTCACTATACTGAACGACCGCTGTACTGAACATTTAGCGTGAACCCCGTCATGTTTGTTATAGCGGCGTTTTACCGTATAGGTAGATACGACCTGTACAGGCATACATGTAGGTTATTACTGGACCCGTATATTTCCCATATTTCTCATTTCGGAGTATATTTCTCAGTAGGAAAATTGTTATGAGGTTAGATTGAGGCAAAGTCAAAGGCTAACAGGTAGCCGTGGAGTATTCTTTTACCTTTTTGCAGAGCCGCTGCATTGCAATGCCATTAATCGCATGCGGAAGATAAAAACACAGTCAGATTTGTAACTGTCAACTTGCTGTTCCTTTCAATATAGAAGTAGAAATGGCACATACATGACGACAGCCTCGGACTTTGGGAACACGTTCATCTGCGGCGATTACCCAGACTGCTCCTGTAGAGAGAGCCAAGAGCTGGAGCCATGCGCCAAGGATGAGAGCTATCTGGTGGAGGCTGTGGAGAGATGTGAAATCCTGAAGGTGAGTGGGAACATCTTGGAGTCTGTTAGAGATCTGACCTCTCGACTTTCAAATCTGTTGACGTACCGGTGTCCAGAAATTAATTATCCCCCTTTATCCTTGAGCACATCTGAAGAGCTGTTAGATGTAATCATGAACAGTATGTGACTGTGGACCAGGTTCCTTGAACTTCCATTGCCCTTATGTCATGTTTATAGTTATAAATGCTGTAACAGTACTAATAAACACCACTCCTCCCCATGAAATTGACTGATTCCTAGCCTTATCAGGAGCAAAGACGACTGTGTAACTGCTCACAACTGCTGACAGGTTACTGCTATTTTGCAAACTATGCACTGTTATTGTATTATGAGCAAGTTAGCCAGCTTACATTGGAATGATGCAATTGTGAGTGTGGATCTTAAATCCAGACAGAAGCCTCCAACATGCCTTTATAGGAACCTGTTCTTTGGGGAGTGTTTCCCGGAAACATTCAGTACACCACATTATGTGCAATAAAGAGAAAAAAATGTTTGACAATCAAAGCTTAACTGGAATATAGATCTGTGTATAGTGTTAATGACATAATGAATTGACATTAAGTGGGATATGTTTGCACACCTCGTAAGTTCTCTTTTCATGAGCTGATATACAGGCATCCACATGTGTCTTCCCGGATCGTTTATATTAACGCAAAATAAACGTTGCTTTTTTCAAAGAAAAAGACTTTAATTGAATGCTATGATCCACATGTACAACGATTGAGTAAATTCGCGCCAAAAGTTTTAAAGCATTTTTCTCTGAATTACAAGCTCACAAGATGCTTTTGTGTGCCAGCTTGTGAAAACCAAAATTCTTATTTACAAATCTGTGTGCAGAGTTTGAGAAACTAAACTTATTGATTAGTTTAGTTTATTTATAATTTCCACAAAGTGTACCCAAACGGCACTCGTAATTTGTTCATCCATAAAGACAGTGATGAAACATATCACTATGTCTAAATATGTTCAAATTTTGTGACTCTGCCCGAAACTACCAAATCAATATACTTCATTATATGTGCCTCATCCTTTGTCATCCCCTCTAGTAATTTCTAATGTAACCTTCACCTTTCAGACCCAGCTGTAGTGGTGTTTGTGACCATGGCCGTAAAGAGGGGAGATATAATACCCTACTACTTGATTTATCAGTTCATAGCTGCTTTGTGCTTCCCTCTTCAAAACGTTCTCCCTTTAGAAAAATGTAGTTTTCCCGGGACAAAATCACGGCAACACCGGTACTTAACAGTGTGTCTTGTTTTGATTTCAGGGTGATGTTTTCTCACCGGCACATCACCTGATTGATCCGCAACCTTTCTACGATGCCTGCCTATACGACTGGTGTGCCTGCCCTGCCCAGGACAAATGCCTGTGCGATGTACTCTCGGCATACTCTCACGAAGCTAGGAAGAAAGGCGTCAGATTAGACTGGCAGAGAGAAAATTACTGTGGTAAGTGGGAGTGCTTAGCCTCGATGAAGTGGAATTCTTAAAGGCACTTTATGAAATGCCAAGATAGCAACAGCAATACTGCAAGCAAATAAGTGTTTCTGCTATCATTTGATTCAGTGACCAAGCATTTACAGGGCTATGGTGCTCTAAATGTGCCATTTGGGATCTTAAAATGGCATTCTCTAAAATGAGATGGACAAATAGATCATATAAAAGTTAAATATTTTTGGCCATACAAACCCTCAAAATGTGTTTGTTTTCTGCGATCATTGAGGAAACATTCAGGACATCAGCAATTTAATACCAGAAAATTGACCATTGATGTGTTAGTCAAAACTCCAGTCTTAATGTTTGCTGCAAATACCTCTATATTCCTCCACCTGGACCTTGCTACTTGTGGCCAAGAGTCAGCTTACTCACTGACCTACTCACTACTCACTTATTTACTCACGGTTGGTGAGCATTTTCTTCAGCACTGATGTTAGTGCGCACATTTCCTCGAGACGGGAGTGGCACCAAAAGCTGATGCACTGCGGCTTGCACGGAGGGAGGTTTTGTACAATTCAACCCTTTCGAATGGGGCCACTGGGGGGGGGGGGGAAAGGTCCC